GAACGCTTCATCAAGCTGCGATAAACTTATCAATAATTACTGATTTTGTTTTTTCATACATATCGTAGTTTTAAAAAATTTCGATTTCATCTGCCTATTTTCAATTTGAATTTAGTTGAAGCCTTAGCGTTAACTATGTGGCTCTTGTTGTTGGCCACATCTTATGACATAATGAATATAAATTTTAATTTTCAAATTTATCCACATTGTAGCGTATACTAATGTGAAATCTCCGTTAAAGCCTTTAATTAGTAAGAGAAAAGATGCAACGAAGGAAATGCACCTATTTCTAGAACGCTGGAACTTGGAAGAGACACCATTACCTGCTGGCTGCTGCCTGGCCGCGTCGCCTCTCTTCCTCTACTCTGTGTTGGCTATATTATGAGCAAAACTTCTGTATGGAGCTCAAGCTCTTAGAATGAATCCTAGGATGACTCGCAAAGGTTCCTGACAGAGCACCCTTCTTCCGATGCAGCTTAGATGGCCCAAGAACAATCGTTCTTTGTACTAATCCATTCCTCTCTGAAATGTAGGAACAGTTGGATGCAGCTTTAGCAGAGGAAACAGGGCAACGGAGGAGCAGTAAGAATAGTTCTGTATGGAGCTGAAGCTCTTCGAATGCAACAGTTGCATTTAAGATAGTAAAAAACACCCCCAAATATAGAAACAGGGCAAATGGAGTTTAACTTTAATCACGACAAGCCATTTACCGTAATGAACTGGAAGGAGAGAATTATGATGAGTCCATCACCAGGAAATAACCATACGGGGCCTAGAAAATAAAAGATAACAGCATGTATGGCCTTCTGAAAACACCACCCCTAATCAATAAGTAACTTTAGATAGCTCTTGCATCAATGGAACTATGAAGCTGACCAAGTGACCGTTCTTCCTTGATTGGGGAGTGGAGAATTACTTGCAGTAGCAGTAGTAGTTAAAACCAATAGATGAAGTTATCGCCACAAAAATATTACACCCCTGCAAATGCGATGCAGCATAAAGCAACACAACTGAATTAGCCACGATGGTCGCAGAAGACTGGAAGGAATGCATGCATGAGCTGCATCCTTTGTAATAACAATAACAACAAACTCAAAGGTCGATGGAACACACCTCTTGCTCTTGGCATTCATCCAAGATGGTCCAAGCGAGATTTGCAGTCTCCCAAGATGGTGGTGGCCTCTCTGTTCTCTGTGTCTGCTGGATTTCGTGGGTAGGGGAGAAGAAAAAGAAGGGCGGGCGTCTCATATATCTTCTTACAAGCAAAAAGTTTCATTCGTTTCAGAGGAGCAAAGAATACCCGGATGACACGCAAAGCTGCTCCAGGAGCAGATTCTCCACGAGATGAGGCTTTGATTAAACTTTGGCAGGCAAGCGAAGAACCCCCCTCTGCATTGCTTTTGAGGTGGTGTGCGTCCCAACGGTGAGGTCGTGAGGACGTCTGTTCTTTTAGGATTCATGCTGGCTACTAAACATACTGTAGGTCTGCAGCTTTGATGAAACTTTGGAGTATGAAACGATGATGGAATCAGCAACCATTCATACCCATACTACGGTACGGCTAAGAAGTAAAGAACCTTGTTTTTTCTTCTTGGCCTTGTTTAGATTGAAAAAATTTCAACCCGATGAATAGTAGCACTTTTGTCTTATTTGGTAAATATTGTCCAATTGTGGACCAACTAAGCTCAAAAGATTCATCTCGTGATTTCCAACTAAACTGTGCAATTAGTTATTCTTTTTTACCTACATTTAATGCTCCATGCAAACAGCTAAAATTGATGTGATGGAGAGAGAGTGAAAAACTTGGAATTTTGAGTGTATCTAAACAAGGCCTTCTTCCACTTTGGCCTTTGCTTTGGAGGTGTGTGTCCCAAAGGAGAGGAAGCCTGGGTGGGTCCCAAAGCCAAACAGGAAGTTTTGTCGGTGACTCCAACAGGCAGCAGCAGGTTATTTCATTTCATTTCACTAAACGTGGCCCAATGATTGTAACCAGTTATCCATGCACATGGCTTATAGGCTGCTCGGTTTCCAAGGGTTTAGCATGGGAAACTAGCTTATCCGTCGAATATTTCTATTTAAAAAAAAAGAATATCCATAGAGTATTTCGAAGGCCGCTCTGTTTCCATGTTCCACGCATGACCTTTTTCAGACATGCATGCAACAGCTTCTGTCATGTAGAAATTGCTGCGCTCAGGATTCGTGATCACACTTCACATGGCACCAAAAGGCATGCATGTACAGGGACTCACAACAGATGTAGGCCCTGTTTGGTTGGGCTTTTTTTATTTAAAAAGCCAAAAAGCCCAACCAAAGGGGCTGCTTTTGGAGGGTGCTTTTTCAGAAGCAGCTGCTTTTCCGTAGTTCATTTTTGAAAGCTGGTTTGACCCTGCTTTTGGCTTTTGGCTTTCTGCTTTTCGAAATTGGTGGAATAAAAAGCTCTTCCATAGTTGTTTCAAGAGAGATAAAGATAAAAGGTATATTTTATACTTGTTTAACCAAATAGCTTTCAGTTTTTCTACAGCTCACAGCCCACAGTAGCTTTTCCACAGCTCACAGCCCACATCAGCTTTTTCCCACGGCCACAGCTCAACCAAACATGGTCGTAGTTCTTCGCATGACTAGTTCACAAAAAACCGAAGTACCATATTATAGTCATATACACACAATACTGGTTATTGCGACTACCAGACTACCATCACGTCTCCATGCGTAGACCCGAAGACACCTGATGGATAATTTCGCCCACCACGATATTATAGTATGTTTCATTGTTTCTTGCCCATTCGACGTTGCGTCCATATATACATCCGCATGATACGACACACACGTCTGTTCTTCTTGCCCAGATTGATGCGTAGAGACCTGATGGATAATTTCGCCCACCACGATATTATTATCACGAGGCTCAAGTCACTTCTGTCCTCAACGCTTGATGACCTGAAAAAGAAAAAAAGAAACATAGCACTGATAATCGTAAGCAGACTACACCTGCTAATGGGTTGGGTAATATTTGGAGTTTTTGGGTTGGGTTGTGTTATGTCATTGTTCGGATGGGTGGTAATGGGTTCAGAGGTCAAATGGGTTGGGTTTGCTAGCAAATCGGGTTGGGATGGGTTGGAATGGGTTAACTTTTTTTTCGGGTTTGTATGGGTTACCCGTGGGTTGGGTTCAATCCTGTCGCATCATTTTCCCAATCCTCTGATAGCGTCTAGTCGCACGACGGCGACGCCGGCGTCAGCGCCGGCCGCCGCACCCGCCGCGGCACCCACACCACTGACTCCAAGATCCTGTACCTGCGCCCCTGACCCCTTCCGAGACGAAGCGCATTGAGGTCCTACTCCCTCTGCTGGCCAAGAAGCAGCTCGTGCAATGCTTCTTGCCGAGACCGCCGGCCGCCGCCGCTCCTGCGCCTTGTCCGGCTCTCCCCTTCGCCGGCAATGAGCACTCATCAGGTTCGCTTGCCCCTTGCTTCCCCTTCCTGTACGTTCACAACTTGTATTTGGATCTCCAAGTCCCTAGGTTAGGCTTCCCTTTTGTATTCGGATCTGATCTAGTTAAGGGCTCCTTTGGAACGTTGAATTGGAGAAACGCAGGAATAGGAAAAACGGTGGGATAGGATAGAATTGCAGGTGGAAAACAGAGGATTGGGAAACAGAGGATAGGAATAAAAATGTTTGTTTGGAACATAGGAAAGGAAGAACATATGCTTGTAACATTAATCCAATTTCTTAGTCATCTAGTCACTAGCATTAGACCTTTTTTTATTCTTGCTACTGACTATTGCCGTCTTTGGTACGAGTAACAAGGAGAGTTGCCTCGGTCTTTGCACAAAAAAGAGGTCTGATTGGATGTTAAGTTTCCACCATTTTCATGGGGTTGGCACAGTATTCCTATGAATTTCATCTGCTTCATTCCCGTGAACCAAATGCATCAACAGTGGCCTTTCCAAAGGAATCCTCGATCCTATGAAATTCCTATGCTTCACCCGTGAACCAAAGGGGGCCTAAAGGTGTTGCATATTTCACAACTTGTGGCATTCAAGCGAAATAGTCTGTGTCCTGCTTTTCCAGGACCATTATGCAATGTAATGGTAGAGCACTCACATGTACCTAGCTGCATCTTGATTCTTGAAACTATATGCAGCCTCTGTTATTCTTTATAATTCTGTTAAGTCTCTCTCTTGTGTTATGCACCTGCCAGAGCATCATAAATTTTGGGGCTGTAACTTTCTATCCTGTGTTATTACTGAGTAAAAGATGATGGATACCTATCCAGAGCTGTTTGGGGATATGGATGTTGACAATTTCTTAAGCTGTGATTTTGCAATGATCTGGCCAAGATTCTTGAGTCTTATTGGTTGAATGTGCAATGGATTCTTGAATTTTTTGAGCCTTTGTTTGTTATTATTAATTGAATGTGTGATGGATTAATATCACCGACAGAGTTAGGGTGCAGGATTATTTTGCCAATCTGACAGCATTACTTTATTGGTGACTATCTGAATGTCAGGATTTTTTATCTGATTATTCAGGTGGACCTTGGCAATCTCATCAGTCATCTGCTTGTCATCTCTGTTCTCTGCTTTTCACTGCTGTAATCTAGCAGACGCTGCGTGTAATCTGTGTGCTGTGCAGGAGTTTCACTACTGTTTATTGAAGTAAAAATTGTCAGTGATTTCTTCCTGCATGTGCCTTTGCTACTTTCCGTTCTCAACGCAAGAGAAGCGGAGCAGCAGTGTAGATGAACCCATGGCAACCTACAGTAGCAGAACCCGTGGCAACCCAGGACAGAGTGGGCTGGGACGGGTTGGGTATAAGTTGATCTGGAATGGGGTGGGATGGGGTTAGAAAATAATTAATTACATTTGGAACGGGTTGGAATCTGACCCATTAGCAGGGCTAAAGCAGACTAGACAAACATGTAACAAAATTAGAAAAATCCTGCGAATGGTTATACCTTACATCTTCATAGCCATCTGATTGGGCATTTCTATATGTTCATCATGTCCATGTGTAGACATCCATGTCATCTCCATGTAGGCGTCGATGCTGCTCTTGGAGTCCAGGCAGCCACAGTGATGACGAGATACATTGCATATCCTCTGTCTGAAACAGCTGGTGCAAGTTGTCCATCCTCTCAACATACCTCAAGTTGGGACATAGCTGTACACGCAGCAATCTCACTTGGGGGAGATTTGAGACCCTCTCTAGGCCTTCGCAATGTACGATTACAAATTCCTCCGAGAGGAAACGGAGGTTCTCCACCACCTTAAGGCTGTGCACATCTCTTAAAAGGACCACTTTCAAGCTGGTGGCCTCCTGTCCAAGCTGCCATGGGAGAGCCCTCAGCTTGGGACAGCGGATAAGTACCAACTCCTTCAATCGTGGCAGCAGATGCATCCTTGGAAGTAGGGCTTCCTCCATTTCCCTTGCAATAGCCCCATCCTCTCCCCCTTCCTTACCTGTTGCTTCCTGTTCTTCTTCTTCAACAACAAAGAACCACTCCTCCCAGTTGGGCATATTCCAGATGATTAATGTTTCAAGCTTGGGGAAAGCAATTGCGTCTGTAGATCTGAGATTACCCACCACAGAGCCAACAAATTCGGGTCCAATCTGGGTGACTGCAGTGGCTCCTTCGATTCTCATATATTTCAAGTTGGGGAGCTGACCAATTGGTGGAAGATGCACACATGATTTGCAGTCTATGAGCTGTAAGTATGTCAGTGAAGGCAAATGGGTAGCAGTATATAGCCAGGTGGGAAACCTCCGACCAAAGAAATTCACAAAACTGAGATTCTCTAGGTTGTGCGCAGGGATTAGCAAAGCAAAGGTTTTCTCAATATTGATTACAGCATCTTCTGAATATGGCTCATGTGTGTGTTCAGTGCAACATAGCAATAATTCTCTGAGATGTTTTTTGTTTGCTAGCAATGTATCTTTACTAGGAGGAACTGTTCTTTCCAGTTTGATCATATCAAGCCTTCTCAACTGCCAAAGGGGATCCAATTCTTCTAGGTTCCATCCATCTTGCATTCTGTCATTATTAACACTGCTACCACCAATTGGAAATCCTCCTAAATCATTAAGAGACTACAATTCACTTATCCCTTTTGGAACCCGTTTTATTGGTGTTCCATCAAGGCCCAATCGTCTTAAATTGCATAATTTGGAGATTGCCAAAGGAAGCCTGTGCAAATTTGGACACCGCTGCAAGTTCAGTATTTGAAGGTATGTGAGAGAGCCAATTGATTCGGGAAGATCAGATATGTTAGTTCCATCAAAATCAAGTAATCGAAGGTGGATCAAAGTCCCAATAGAATCCAGAACACTTTGGATAATTGAACTAGTTAAATTCAAAACTCGAATGCATGAAAGCCTTTTGAATATTGAATTTTCAATTCTTCCAGACTTGGTCCAATGAATAAGCAATGTTCGGGCTCTAATGTGCTCTTTGGGGAGAGTTATAGAATCACTATCAGTAAAAATTGAAATGTGCAGTAGTTTGGATAAATTTTTAGCATCCAATGATTTTGGATCTCCAAAAAAATATTCATCCTGTGACGAATGTTGACCAAGCTGCCTTAAAAGATCATGCATTTTACACCAATGATGGTCAGCATATCGTGGGTCTGGTTGAAGGAGATTCCTATATATCAATTCATTGTAATATTCATTAGATGTACCCTCAAGAAGTTGCTCTCCTTGCTCCTGTATAAAACCTTCAGAAACCCAATACCTTATAAGATCATTACGAGACATGATATAATCTTCTGGATACAAGGAACAAAATAGAAAGCATTGCTTCAAATGCCATGGTAGGTCATCATAACTCAAATACAATGCTCCTCTAAGCTCAATGGGAACATTGCTCATGGACCAAGCACTTCTGCTTATAAGCTGCCTCCACTGGTTCTCAGTTTTCTCTTTGGTTGCTAGAACACTAGCAGTAACCTTGATTGCGAGGGGGAAGGTCACCACACATACAGACAATCTCATTACCCGTACCCCTTAGATTTGCCACTTCAGTCTCTTTATTAATGTTCATACTTTTCCACAACAGCTCCCATCCTGTGTCATCCGACATCAATTCAACTCGATGAACATCTTGCACACCAATTGCTCGTGCCACTGTATCATTACGAGTAGTCACAAGAATTATTGTTGTAGGTGAAGTGTTTAATGGCGTTCTTAGTAGATTAGTCCATGCCTCTTGGTTCCAAATGTCATCTAGAACAAGAATTACACTTCTATCTTGAACTGCTGTCGCAAGCTTTATGCTAAGTTCTCCAGCTGTTTCATCTTGCTTATAGTCTACCCCAATGTTTCGAAGAAATTCTTTCAAAAGAGCGTCTTCAGAATAGTCTTTAGAAACACAAATCCATACTTGCTTGTTAAATGTTCCTTTTATTTTTTGGTGATTATATATTTTTTGAGCCAAAGTTGTTTTTTTCCAACCACTACCACAATCCTGAAATTTCTTGAGGGCTAGGAATTTTCTTGAAGGCCAAATTGAAACCGCCAAGAAATATGGTATTTCCTTGGCGGTGCTATAAAACAGTCAAGGAAATATATATTTCTTGAAGGTTGGTGAGACCCGCCAAGGAAATATAGATATTTCTCGGCGGTTTCGCAAAACCCTCAAGGAAACTATAAATTTTTCTAACTGCCGGCGGCCAAGGAAATGTTTTGGGTGCCAACGCCAAAGTTAGCCAAGTCCCGCGTCGCTCTCCCGCGAAAAAATTGGCTCCCGCGTGTAACCCTAACCCGCCGCCGCCCCAAAGGCAACTCATCCAACACAGGGACGTCCCCAACACAGACCAAAATTCCCCCCGCCACCGCCACCCATCTGCCGCCCACGCCACCTCCTCCCCTCGACGCAACCTCCTCCATCGTCTCTCCTCGACGCCCTCCGCCTCCTCTCAACGCCCTTCTCTTCCACTCCCGACACCCCTCAGCACCACCCTCTCCATTCTCCACCCCCTCGAACCTTCGTCCCAAGATCTCCATGGCTTAGCTCTGAAATCAGTGTCCTCCACCCTTTGGCTTGACATCGTCAGCTTCTCCACTCATCCCCTGTGTTCCCACGCCCAGACGTGCAAGATCTGTGATGATGTGAAGCCTATCTCTGGCGTCGTGGTGGGGATTCTTCAGCGTGTTGGACTGTGTTGGTGCTGAGTGCCGTGGATGCTGCTGCCGTGGTGGGGATTCTGCAGTGTGTTGTCGTGGACGCTGCTGCCGTAGTGGGGATTCTGTAGCAAGTTGGCCTGGACGCTACTGCCCTGGTGTTCGCACTGGTCCATGGTCTGGACAGCTCCAGAGGTCAATATCCTGTAGATCCAGACAAACACTTCAGAGCCTGGTGAGGATGGCTTTCTTATTTTGTTTTTTTTTTGTTTTTCTTCATCATTACTAGTACACATACTGTGCGCTAGGACATAGGTCTGAAATTAGTTCTGAGAGACATTGGATATTCTAAACTTTTGAGGCTTTCGATTCAAACAAATTAATTGTTGCTATCTGAAACATCTGGTTGGACTTTAGATAGTTCACATGGAAATTGGTGTTCGTCTTCAGGGAACCCATGTGTTCGTCTTGATTGTGTTCGTCTTCAGGGAACCCATGTGTAAACTGATCATGCCTTTTTTTACCAGGTTTGATCTCAGTAGATGTGATCTGTTTTCCATTGTTGAGGAGTGCAAGGGAATTCTCTGTGGACAACTTTGAAATACAGTAACAGTAAGTATCATGTTCTTTCTTAACAACTGTGTGTTTGACATTAGTTAGAGTGCATATTTGTAGTAAGCTGGACACAGTGTTGATAATTATTGTGTTTCTCTTTCTTTTCTGCCCTACTAGCCATATTTGGTTGATAATTGTGTCAATATTCAAGAACCTGAAATATATATAATTTTTGTCATCTTTTTAAAACAGAATAAAAGTAATGACAGGCCGGGAATGGATGTATAGTGGTTGGTCTCCTGGACAGGCCCCCTCTAATGAGTGGATTGAAAACACAACCAAGATGAAGAGGACCCTGATGATCTGCCTGAACATCTAGCTTATGACCCTGATGATTATTGACTTCTTTTTCTTTACTTAGGGGTTGTGCAAGCAGTTTGTATTCCTTGAAACAAGTGTACCTTTTGGGATAAAATTGTGCACTTGTTATGCCTTATTGCATATCCATGTTGCGCTCAAAATGTTATTCACATGTGTGGTTGCGTGTTCTTGAAAATATGCTAACTGTCATTTGTGCTTGCGATATACAACTTACTAACTGTTTTACTAATAATGCAGGAGATGTATGCTCTTCGTCACAAAAAGCACAAGAGTAACACTGGAAGTAATCATGGTGCAAACTCCGGAAGCAATCCTCAAGGTGTTGAATCCAATACAAATCAGTCCAGAAGGGTTGGGGCTGATGGTGGCAACTCTGATAGGAGCAGTCCAAATGGTGTTCAGTCCAGCAGAAATAATAACACAAGGGTTAGAGCTGATTGTGGCTCCTCTGAAAGGAGCAGTCTAGATGGTGTTCAGTCCAATAGAAATCAGTCCAGAAGGATTGCAGGTGATGGTGGGAACTTTCGAAGGAGTAGTCCTGCTGGTGTTAACTCTGAAAGAAGTGCTAATGTTGGTGACTCCCAACAGAATGGTAGTGGTGATGGTGCCCAACTTAATGGTGGTAGTGAAGGTGGTGACTCCCAACTAAATGTGAATCCTTCGAAAAGGGGAAGAGGGAAGTTGACCAGAACAGAATTGAAAATGGTTCTGCGCAGTGGAAGGGTTCAGCTAGAACCTGTTGGTCATTGGTAAGTATGCATGTGCTCATTTCTAGATATTACTATAGTTCTTATCATTCTTCAACTATTTGAAAGGAAGTATAAAGATGACTAGGAATAATTGACTTTTCAATTGTTTTATAACAGTCAATTCAGTTATGTTGGTTACACACCAAGAGGCTACAAGTACCCATCACAAGTAGGAGCTATTCTAAAACGGGAGTACCCAGGTATTATCACGGTGTATGATGATGATGGCACAATTATTAAACAACAGCCAACAATGTCATGGAATGATTATTATTGGAAAAAGAATGAACATGATGTCTGCTATGCTCAGAGAGTAAAGCAGGTGATCTGGGTAAGTAAACATCTAGCTTCTAGTTTAAGAACTTCGATATTTTGTTGGCTTGGCTATACATATGTAACTTTGCCTTGTCCTACATATGTAGAGTTTGTTTACAGTTCATCCCAACCATAGGAGAGTTGCTGAGAAAAATCTAGAGAACTATCTTGTGAGAAGGGTAAGCAATATGGTATACCAACTACGTTTGGAGGCTGTCAAGATGTTCTTTCATGAAAGGGGTGAGAAGCTGTGATGATGATACGAGCACGCACCATTGAACTTACAGAAGCAGAATACTTATCTGCTCGTATTGAATGGTGCAATAAGACAGTCTGGGCTTGGTTCTCCAAATACTGAACTTCTGATGAGTACAAGGAAAAGAGGCACAGAGCCCAAGAGTCACGCATGAGTGCTGAAGATCCTGCTCAAAATAGAGGAGGTTCAAGAAATTTTACAGAGACACAACAATTCCTGGTAGGAGAAATCATTTTTGTCTTACTGAAGTCATTGACCTGCAGTACATTTTTTCATGCATAATTTCTTATTGGTTTTACAGGAATATACTTTTGGGCACTGGGCATCGAGTGGCACTATAAACACATTTTACGTAATGAAATCCGAATTAAGAATGCGGATAGCACTTTGGAAGGAGTGGTCCAATCCCTAGCCAAAAAAGCATGAAACGTTTGGTCTGCTCTTCATACTTTTATCTATTATTGATATTTTTTTTGCATGATTGTTTACTTCCTGAATGTATTACAACATAATTTATTTCACATGCCCATCTTAATTTCATCTTATCTTCATTTTAGGATGACTACAAAGCACTAGCTCCAGATGAGAATTCAAAAGTACTTGATGGGAAAGCATTGTACACCATGGCACGTGGAATGCCCCATGGCCGTGTTCTAATAGGCGATGGTGCCGTGGATAAGGCATGTGTTCTAGTACATGCCAAATCAGCATCAGTTATGCCACCCAATCATGATAAGTATCGAAGTGTGATCGCTGAAAATGAGCGATTGAAAGAAACTAATGGCCTACTCATTGAGGAAAATGGTGTCCATCGTGACCTTGTCATGGTAAAAATTGTTTATTATTTACACTGTTTAACTCGCCCTATGCATGCATTTTTATGTGGGTGCTTTTTAACTGTAGAGAATTTATGCGGATTTCAAAAAAGAACCACCTGCTGATCTCTTGCTAGCGCGCTTAGCAAACATTGATGCCCGCCGCAACCAGGTTACAACATTCATTTTATTATCTTGCACGTTTCATACTTTGTATTTTCTGGACATTTCATCTAGAGATTTAATAATGTTTGGTGGCAGAATGGCAATGCGAGTTGCAGCAGTGAATAAGTGGCTTCTTGTTGATTAGAAATGCCATTCTTAGTTTTATGTTGATGGTAAGGTAGCCAAGATCGGTTTTGCTTGGCGTAAAAATGGACAAAAAGAGAATCTTTATGTAAACAGTAACATTGATATAAGGCCTTAAGATCATCCTTTATCTTGACAACTCATTCTTCTATGCTTTCTTGAGTAAACAAAAAGTGTAATGTGAATAAGCAAGAAAAACAGTAATGACACAATTTGTTTGCACAGATATTTTTAGGTGTTTAGAAAAAAGATATTTTAGGGAATATGTATTGGTTCACTTGAGTTTTGCTAATAATAGGAAACTAGTATATTGAGTACAACTATATTGCTTCTTGCGGACTACAAGTTTATCACTTGGAGGCTCGAATCATTGATAATGGTTGGTACAACTACAACTACAATGATGATTACACTCGTTGATGGCGGCGATGAGGAGGATTACACCGATGAGGATATAGCGATGATGAAGCTGATGAGGACATGTCAGGTGATGATGATGGCATGTACGAGGAAGATGATCATGATGACATTTATGATGAAGCCAATAATCTCTGAAATCTTTGACTAGGAACTGGATAATGATGGCAATGGCTGCAGAGATGTTGAAAATGTCCAAGGTGACAATGAGCACTTAAGCGGCCATGCATGCAACAAAAAGATGAGAGTGGCAACAGATGGGAGTGGCACACGACATGGTAACGCATCAATGGCTCCAAGTATTTGGTAGGCTGCAGTTTGGATTTCCTTTTGGTCTAATTTGGTAGAAACCAACAGTGTGTTGTAGTGTGTATTGGTCTTTGGTACCCTCCAAATGCAAGTGCGCACCAACTAACCTTTTGTTGATCGATGTAGTAAGCAATGTTGCCTTAAGCATGTGTTGTCGACATGTAGGCATATTTGGTCTTTGTGCCGGCTATCCTTTTGCTAATGTAGTGAGCAATGTTGCCTTAAGCATGGCTGCTACATGAAGGCATGAAACAATGTTGCCATATAGATTTTGTATATATCTGCAAAATGGTCTTGTAATGAACCATCGGATGTTGCATGTTATGTATGATTTTCTGATGTTATTATCTATATGACTATTGGATCATTAATGGATATTGTTTGATCCATTCGATTTAATTGTTCTGGTGAAATATTTCTGCCTTTTCCTTGGTGAGATCATATTTCCTTGGCTACCATATTTGTGCAAAATGTATTGCCTTGGCTGAGAAGGGAGCAAGGAAAATTAATTTTCTTGGCGGGACAACAGACAAGGAAAACAAGGTTTCTTGACGGTTTAAGGCCGCCAAGTAATACACCCTTAACTTGGCGCTAAGTAGCACTCAAGAAAATGCAATTACTTGGCGGTCAAGCACCCCCAAGGAAATATGATTACTTGACGGTGTATGACCCTCAAGAAAATGTATTTACTTGTCGGTCTACTCATTTTCCTGTCCTCTTGTCGGTTGTTACATGTCCATGTTTTTCTTGGCAGGTTGGCAGTCAAGAAAACATTGC